ATGATCATTTCGGCCTATCCCAGCCATCGTCAGACACTTGGGCTGATACAAATTCAAACTCGGAAAGTAAAACGAATGTCTCCCAAATCTTTACTACCGTGTAGTTAGCTTATAAAGGCGCCACCTACTTTGGAGGCCGTGAACGAAACGATATGAATAATCGTTTTCTGTATCCTTTATGCTATGCGAAATGTGTAAAGAATTAAATCTTTTAGCGAAAGCCGCTATCGCTTTATATATCAAATGGCCAACTATATGGCCTAGGAGACAAATTCGTTAAACTTCCCGTGCTCGAATTGGTATCACTAAAGTGTTATGATCATTTCGGCCTATCCCAGCCATCGTCAGACACTTGGGCTGATACAAATTCAAACTCGGAAAGTAAAACGAATGTCTCCCAAATCTTTACTACCCTGTAGTTAGCTTATAAAGGCTTATTTGAATAAATTTATTATTCAAATATATTATTAATATTATTTGAATAAATTTATTATAAATTTATTAATAAGTAGTTAGCTTATAAATTTATTTGTATGCATCTATTTGTACCAAAAAATAGATGCAAATACTCAAAATTTCCGAAATGGTACACTCCTCATATAAAACATATTATTTTAACACAAGATTGCTGATGCAAAATGACAGTGTCTAAGAAGGGTTATGATATTTTTTCTAATTTGTGCCAAGAATTTAGGGATTGTTTCAACACATGTCATCAGATTCACCTATATAATTTACACTGCTATTCTATGTATGATAAAAGAGTTTTGGAATTATGTAAATAATAAAAGACAAAACTTCTAATAATACCCAAAATATAACAAAGTTGTTTAGGAAATTTTTTAATTCAACCGCCTAAAAAATCTTATACAACTAACAGACAGCACTAAAAAAGAAGTAGTTCAAATTCAATAACTAATAATTGATCCTAAAACTTGTATGTACGTATCACGAATTATTTGCATACAAGTACTCAGCACTTAACATGTTAAATCATTACAGTATTTGTTGAAAAAAGTGCAGAATATGTAAATAACATAAAAAAACTAATCTCCCACATCATACCTGCCTTATTTTCAATAAATTCCTATCATTTATTACATTCCTATTATTGGGGGTTTCTTAGATCTTATTTTTTCTAATATAAATAACATTGTACTAGTAATACTAATTATCCAGCTGTAAACTCTGATAATAGTCTGTGTTGAAATTTGTTACATTACTGTATTAGATGTATTTGAATTTATATCTAAGATTAATCTAAAAGTAAATTGTGGACCTGATAATATATCCCCTTTATTCATATTTAATTGTAGATTTATTCTGAGTTATACTTTACAAAACATATTTAGTTTATCATTGAGCTCAGGTGTCTTTCCAGAGATATGGAAGAGAAGTTATATTACCCCAGTCCATAAAGGTGGTAATAGAGAAAATATTAAAAACTACAGAGCTATATCAAAAATTTCAGTTTTCGCTAAATCTTTTGAAGATATTGTAGCTGCAAAACTTGGTCCATTATTGAATCCTACTTAAATGCCCGACCAACATGGTCTTATTCTAGGACGTTCCACTACTACCAATCTTTTAGTTTTACAAGAATTTTTGTGGGATGTTCTTGAAGGGTATGTCATTTACACCGACTTTTCGAAGGCATTCGATAGAGTTAATCATACTGCCCTAATCTCTAAACTTTATAATGCTGGTTTACACGAAAGATTATTACGCTGGATGGAGAGCTATCTCACAGATAGAACTCAAGTTGTAAAAATTAACCAATTTTGTCATCTACTATCAATGTAACCTCTGGTGTTCCACAGGGTGGACATTTATCTCCTCTGCTTTTTAATTGGTTTGTAAATGATATAAAAAATTATTTTTATCATAGTAATATTTTTCTCTATGCTGAAGATCTAAAACTGTATAGTCATAAAAAATTCCGATGACTGTAGTTTATTACAGAATGATCTAAGTAGATTATTGGATTGTGTAACCTAAATGCTTTGAATTTGAACATAAATAAATGTAAGGTAATGCGATTTTTTAGAAACATCCGATTGCATTTATATTATACCGAATATTTTAGAGGTAATCACCTAGTGGACCCTACAGTAAACTTCAGGGACCACTTTTCTTACGTTTCTAACAGATCCATAAAACTTTTAGGTTTCATGAAACGTTGCCTTTCAGAATTTGATAATATTTATTGTCTCACAAATATCTACTGTTCCCCTATTAGATCGGTTTTGGAATATGGTAGCAATATTTGGTCTCCTCATTATAAAAGCTACAAAGATCTATTAGAAAGAGTACAGAAAAAGTTCTTAAGATTTATTGCTTTTAAATTGAGGATGGCTGTAAATGAAATTGAATAGATTGCTCTGCAATCTTTACTTAAATTTTGAGTTTGAGGGTATACAAGGCAACTATCGAACACGGTGATTAATTTAATCTTGCCCAAGTACTTGGCCAATGTAACAAAAATGAATTGGCTGGAGCGCCAATATAACGACAATGTGTAGTAAAGATGTGCAGTGTAGCAATAGGGTAAACTCTAAAATGTACCTTGATACACCAACAGACTAATATCGGAAATAACAGAAGATGGAAGGGATTAGATAGAAATAAATTATGTAAAAGAAATAAATAAAGGGTAAATATGAATATTTAAAATATATTAAAAATAATGTTGGCTAGCGACTATGCAGGAGAATGACCACTTGACACTCAAGAGGGATTAGGCCAATTTGCATGCCCTACAGTGACCGTAAGATATAAGAACTAATGACCAGAAATCTACCAAGAAATAAACAGACGAAAGATAAAGTTGCTCTACTGAATGTTTGGGCGCCAGGAAGTTAAATGGTTTCTTCCGAGATATCTTGTATTGCTGAAATATTAAAGGATAGGTACCAAGTGAAATCTTAAATTGTTTTAACCCAACTTTAATAAATACCTATTTTATGTACAAATTATTTAAACCCTTATCTATGACCCACCACCTCTTATGTACAATTAACTTATCTATATTTACAGTAAAAATTCTTAATAGGGCTTCTAAATAGAGATTCAAACTTCTAAATAGAGCTAAACTAAAAATTGCAGAAAAGCTTGCATATTCTTCACAGTTTTCCCAACCGAATGGTTCAGATAACATCAGATATTTCTCCTTCACTTATATTAGTAGCATTTCCAATAAAATATCTAAACTTTTTTCTTCTACAATTGATAACATCAAAATTTCCTTTAAATCACATAACACTTTAGGTTCCTTCTTAATCAATACCAAAGATAGGATGAATACACTTGATAAAAGTGGTATTTACAAATTAAAATGTGATGATTGTGATGCATCTTATGTAGGTAGAACCATCAGAAAGTTATCCACTAGAGTCTCTGAACATTTGAAAAGACCAAATTCTTCAAGTTTTGGTCAACACTTAGTATCCAGCAACCACAATTTTAACATCAATTCTGGTTCATCTATCTTACATGACATTAGCAGAAAGAAAAACTATCTTGAGTTGGATTTATTGGAAGATTTGGAGATTACAAGGGAAACAAATGAAAACTCTCACTGTCTTAATACTCAAATTAATTTAAATTGTACTAAATTTAATCCTATATTTAAAAACTTTATTACAGCTTCACCTCGTAGAGGACCCAGCTCGACTGTTTAGACTTCATGCACTGAATATTTCAATATTAATTTTAAAGTTCTTCCATTGACTGTGGATTCAACTGAACTACGTGGACTATAACACATTTATATATTTTGTCTTCAATTTTGATTTTAACTTTTAGTAATTTAACTGCATATTCAGATTTTTCTTTTTTACAGTACTGATAGCGCTTGGTGGACCATTTTATTGTAGTCAACCATCCACTGTCTAATATATTGTTAGTCTTTTCTCACATTCATACTTTATGTCAACTTCAATTGCTCTCAAACCAACATCCTAATTATTATAGACAGGTTTGAGTGTGAGATTGGAATTATTCAATCTACATAAAAAAATATACTATATAATTTTATATTTCATCAGTCGATTTCCTATAGTGGTGTCAGTTGGACCTTTGGTCAATACTTAGTGTCATAGAATTTTGAAAGGTGCAGATCACATAACTGCCCTTCATAAGCTGTCATTTGTCACATGTCATCTCTACATTTCCGTCAGACCGGGAGCCCATTCTGTCTCCGGCTTCTTCACAATATGTAGCTTCTCCATATAAATTTTAAAGTGTTTGTCTTAGTGTAGTGTATTTTGTATTGTTATGTCCAGATTTTACATTTATGACATTCTACTATGTCGGATAGGCCACAATTGACGAAGTAAGTCTATAAACGTGTATCACATATAAACATTTTTTTTTCAACCATAAACTTGGAGTTTTTTATCCAAGTGAATTAATTTTCCTTTTTATAAAAAACGTTTCTTGGCTTATTTCAGATGCCCCTGAAGATGATCTATTGATCGAAAGTACTTGGGCAAGATTAAATTAATCACCGTGTTCGATAGTTGCCTTGTATACCTTCAAAGTTTAATTATTCGAACATTCAACCTTATATTGATTTATTTACTTAAATTGCCTACTCTTAAAGAAAGGCCAATATTGCTAGATGTAGCATTTATATATAAATTAATACGAGGAGGGATTGATGCTAGTGCACTTTTGGAAAAGGTTTACTTCCGTAACTTGTAGGGACACCAGATCCCAAGACTTATTTCAGTTAGAATTTCATAATCGAGCTTATACTGTAAATAAACCCTAACCCAGAATGTGAAGAAATGCAAACAAATTTAATAGTAATGATTTTTTCATTTATCACTAAGTACTATTAAAAATAAGATCTAAAATATCTTTTTATGTAATCGCATTGTGCTTTAATAGTTAAGCTAAATGTAAGTTGATTTGTAAAAAAACTGGCAAGTCCGTAAATAAACATAAACAAATACATAGTATTAAACTAAACAATTATAGCAAAAATTATTACTCACCACAGATATTTCCGACTTCAATCGTAAAGTTCTCATCTGTTAAATCTACGAAAGTACTGGTTGTGGCTGTACTGACACTACTAACGGAAGTGGACGGCTTTAAATTGATAGTTTTTAATCGTTTTGAAGGTTGAAAACAATCGCTAACCGGGTCTCTAATAGGATGGGATACAGAACAATCTGGATACACATCAAGTTGTAACGTACCAGTAAGAGGTTCACGAGGTGCTGGAATCAAAACATCACATTGTTGTTTTGTTTTCGTCATTGTATTGAGATTATGTCTATGTTTCGAATGAATCTCACAATGTGCACACATCACTTGAGTCTACACGTGTTTAATGGTAAGGTAAATGTGAGTATAGTTGACAGTGTACCAGTAGTTGACATCATTAGTTTTGTTTCCATTTTAAAATAAAAGTTACAAAACTCCAGTCACCAGATGGTTGTAGTCTGTGGTTTCAGTCTACTTATATGTGAAGTTGGCAACATTCACAGTACACAGAGTACTATTTTTTTGAAGAATTCAAGTAGATAATAAATATGTAAGTAAACTTTTTTATATGAATAAACTTATTATATTTTAGTGGTATTAAATTATAATAACTTTATAGCACGGGAGGTTGTTATATAACGTTTAATTTTTTGACCTTTTGAAAATCTTCTAGGGGTTAACCTTAAAATTATTTGTGGTGTGTCAACTACTAAAGCAAATTTTGGCCATTACACCAATACTTGACACTAGTGTCAACTACTGGAGAAGACAGACAAATCTATGCAAAGTAGATATATGTTCTTTTTAGTTAGTAATTAGCGTTTGTGTATTTTTATTATTATTCTGCCATTGTCCGAATCAGTAGTTGACACAGAATATTAACTATTGCAACACAATATGTCAACTATAACATCACTATTTTTTTATATGTAAAATGCCTCCGGAGAAAGGGAAAATGTCAGCTTATCCCGAAGAAGCTATGACAGCTGCAATAAAGGATATTCACCTTGGGATGCCAATAGCCTCTGCAGCAAAAAGACATCAGGTTGCCAGAGTAACGCTTCTGTACAAGGTGAAAGGAACAACTCCCTATTTCTAGAAGAATGGGGTCAAAGACTATTCTGACGTCCGATGAAGAAAACTTGCTTGTACAATGGATATTAGACTCAGCGGAAGCAAAGTTTCCAGTAACAAAAAGACAGCTGCTGAATAGTGTACGAATTATAATAAAACAAATGAAAAGAAACACTCCATTTGTTGCTGACCGCCCTGGCCGTGGTATGAAAGTTTTTTCAGAAGACATCCTTAAAAGAACGAGTAGCACAAATTTAACAGCTTCCAGAGCCTTACTAACTAAACACGGCCTAATAAATTGATTTTATGAAATAACAAATTATCTGTCAAACAAAGATCAACTTCAGATAATACAAAATCCTTCACGCGTTTTCAATGCAGATGAGACTGCATTATTTCTGAACCCAAAAGGCGAAAAGGTACTGGTTCGTAAAGATGAAAAAGTGTTTACCAACAGGTTAATGCTGATAAAAAAGAATGCATGACTGTTTTGATAATTGTAGACGCTGATGACAATTTTGCGCCCGCTAAGATTGTATATAAATATAAAAAAAATCCCCACAAAGGTTTCTCAAATCTGATACAAACACAAAACATACAGACAGACACCTGTTGTATTATTTATTGACGGTCATATTAGTCATTTAACAGTGCATACCAGTGAATTTTGCAGTAAAAATGGAATAATACTCATAGCATTACACCCTAATTCAACTCTTGCTACTTGACGTAGTATTTTTTAAGCCTATGAAAACTGAATATTATGATTATGATATAATGACCCGGCAACGTGGTAGTAATTGGTAAAATACTTTATTTTTCGCCCGTGATAATCCCGAAAATTCGAGAGTTACAGCGAAAAATAATTTATTGCAATAAGTCGATGTGTATAATTAAAACAATAAGTTAATGCACGCCATACACACTACGGTCTACCGGAGAGGTCTATCTGTGCAGGCATGCCTGCGCAGGTAGACCGGAACGTGTATGGGAATATAAATAGATCTTTGCAGTTTTTTGAACCTGCACAGGCGACCGGAGCAAAATCAAAAATCAATTTTTTTAAGTTGCACCGTATTTGGGAAGGACCGTGTTTCTCTGGGAAGGACGTCTTGTCGTTTGCACCGTATTGTCACACCACTCTTAATAATTAACCCAAGAAAATGGTGCCACCAGTTTCAATTAAAAAAACGCTTGAAGAATTTATCGAAATTTATAGAATTCATCCATGTCTTTGGGAAATAAAAAACAAAGATTACCATAATCGCGATAAAAAAGCGCTTGAGATGAAATAATGGCTGAGAATTTTAAATCCTCACAACTTCTTCCAGTTTCGAGAAATCTCAACGTAACTGGTATAATCTTTCATATGCAGAAATACTATTTCTCATAACTGTCTTTCTTTTTTATCGTGGGAGTAACCATTTCAAGTAATTTAATGTATGTTTTCTCGTCCATCCGGAGATAGTTCTATCTCCTAGTATCTTCTAGTATCTCCTAGTTCTATCCTAGTACATCGTCTAGTTCAAATTTGAATTCATTCAATAAGTTAACATGACTTTATGTTTTCCTTTTCAACAACCAATTCTTACACCACTTTTTTCGCTTATTTTTCACTGTTTTTTTAACTTTTGTCTTTAAAATTAAAACAAGGCCTAACAATGCTAATGCGTCATCGTCTTCAATCGATGTCATCGTTAAAGTAACTGAAGACCGCACCGGTACACCGGAGAGTCCCCAATACACGCTACCGCTGTTTCGTTGACCTGTACAGGCATACCTGCACAGGTAGACCTCTCCGGTAGACCGTAGTGTGTATGGCGTGCTTAATGACAGTGATAAGGTTTGGCCGTAAAACATCGTGTTGCGTTGAGGTTCATTTACCTTTGAAGTTAAATTGTTGTTTTGTTTTTTTTTGTTTTGTTTTTTTTTGTCAACATTTTAAATGGTGCATATTAGTTTTGTAAAAAACTAAATTTATTTCAAGTACAAAAAATTACTTATAATAAAAATATACACCTGTAAATTTCATAATTTATTAACCCATCAGAGGACGCTAAGAACTGATCAGTTCTTTGTAATTTTACATTTATCTTGGCAATAAGACTATTGAATTTATATTCATTTTCAACGAAAAGCTTCCGTTGCTAAATCAATTTTTTTTCATTTTAAACTTCACTCTGTAAAAATGTCATTAACCCACTCTAAAGTGTGTTTTTAAAGTTGTAACTTCTGCAGTTTTTCCAATATTTTCCATGGACATGAAAACATAAGATGCCATAGTCGAATCATATTTTCTGGCAGACATGACTTAATAAGAGGATATAATATCGCCGCTAACTTGTCAGCAGTTTTGTCTAAGGTCTCAAGTGAACGAAGTTGACTATCAATCATATCATAAAGAGCAGAAATATTACTATTATATATATATATATATATATATATATATATATATAATATTAAGAAACTCGACTTAAAATTAACTTTGAGAGCTCTCTAATGTAAACTTCAATTTGGAGATCCTCTATGCCAAACTTAGACTGCAATCTTTGAACTCGATTGGAGGTAATTTAAATTTGGGCTTCTTCGGAAGCTTCTTCGAATATACTTTTAAGTACCGTAGGTTAATCGAGGCAAAATTTTGCCTTGGTTTTACCTTTATTTACCTTTATAGTCGTACTTGTTGAATCACAATATCGAGTAATAAAAAAAAGAGGTCGATGGTCAGAAGTTATATCGGCAGCTGTTATATGGGCAATCAATTGAAAATGTTGGATTATTGATAAGAAGAGAATTATTTGTAAGGTATGCTTTAGGTCAAGCTGATGTGAAAGAGATTTCATGTGCAGAAATTTCTGTGTGGTGTTTTGTCTACAACTTCCTGTTCCTTTCTATGTTAATCAATGTGAATTGAACTACCGATTTGTTTGCTGTCGTTCAGATCGTCAAATTAAGTATCTGTACGGTAATATTTTTCCTTTTATGTACTTTTTTGTGAATTTATTCCAGTTATTAGTTTTGGTTTCTTAATTAATTTTTCATAAGTTGATTTTTGTGAGTGTAAGAGAGAATCTTTCTGTGCAATATGAGTGGAAAGCGAAAGAGAGTAATTGCACCTTTGGAAACAAAAGTGAATACAATTAAGAGGTTGGACAAGGGTGAATCAATAAAGGTTTCTTTAGATTTAGATGTCGGAGAAGTAACTGTTGGATATTGGAAGCGTAAGCCGAATGAAATCGAACAGTGGGTAAACCGAAGTGTGAGTGGTGGTAGTGGATTGGTCCAAAAAGCTTTGTTGTTGTTGGACAACGCACGATCCCACCCATATGTGAGGGAATTGATTAGTGGTGACATACAAGCTGTGTTCCTTCCACCTCATGTAACATCTCTCATCCAACCCTAGATCAAAACGTTATATAAGGAATGAAGAGGAATTATCGGCGGAAGCTTCTTCAGGTACTATCTATCTATTTATCTAATCAGCCTTAGACGCCCACTCTTGGGCATAGGCCTCCCCTGTTAATCTCCATTGGTCTCTATTTTGGGCCATCTTCATCCAGTCCTTTCCTGCCTTTCTCTTAAGATCGTCAGTCCATCTCATCTGTGGTCTTCCTCTTTTTCTTTTCTTTTCCCATGGTCTCCAGTGTAGAATTCGCTTATTCCATCTTTCATCTTTTTACCGGAGAGTGTGACCGGCGAAGTTCCATTTAAGTTTTGCAACCTGTCTTGATACATCGTTCACCTTTGTTTTTTATCTGATCCATGAGTTTCTTTTCCTGTCTTTAAGACCGATACCCAGCATCTGTCTTTCCATTGCTCTTTGTGTTTTGGATATCCTCTCGATGTTCTCCTTTGTGAAAGTCCATGTTTGTGAGCCATATGTGATAACTGGTAAAATGCACTGGTTGAATACTTTCGTTCGCATATATTTAGGGAACTTTTTATTTTTTAGAATATATGTTAGTTTACCAAATGAGGACCATGCTAGTCTAGTTTTTCTTTTTATTTCTTCTGTTTGATTGTCCCTGTTCAGCTTTATTATCTGTTCTAGGTATATGTATTCTGCCACCTGCTCTAATTTATTCTGTTTGACTACTATTTCTAATTGGTCTTCTTGGTTTGTCATAGTCTTGGTTTTACTATAGTTCATCTCTAGACC